CTCTAAAAACCCTAATTCCATCTTACTTTTTTTTTTTTTTTTTCGGTCGCTATTTTGCTCAACTACTTTCCCCATCGGTCATCCACAACACCCCATACAAATATTAAAAATTTTTTTTTTTTTTTTTTTTTTTTTTTTTTTTTTTTTTTTTGGATATATCAGAGCTCACATAGGAGGTAGCCACCACTACCTATCCGAGGTACTTTACCACCTACCGACCTGCCTAACACAATGTAGTGCTTTGGTACCAATGAAGTTCCCGCTTGACGTGACACCCAGCCCTAATTCAATTTCACATATTACGATTCACACAAGATGTTTCTACAGCGGAAAAAATATTTCTTTCCATTTCAATTTTAACTTGGGAGTGGAATAGTTGTTATTAATTCAGCTCGATAAGACTAAAATAAACAACTCATCTTTGCTATAAAAAAAAGAAGCAAAGTTAAAAATGCAACACCATCTGTTGTTTTTGCCAGTTGGGGGGGACTGTTGTATAAGCTTTCTCTATGCAAAGAAGCCGAGAAAATTAATGAGTTCGTAGTGTGAAACTCCTTTTTCTTTTTTTCGAAACCAGAAATGACAGAAGGGGAGTTGGACTAGAATCTCAGCAGCACGTCGCGGAAAAAGAATAAAACATGGAAATCAAATCGACAATCTGCTAGTGATATCCACGGGACCACGGTTAAAAGAATTGATTCGGGTCCATTCCATTGCTTACTCGTCGTCAGAGTCTTCCTCCGCCTCATCCAGCCACTTGATAAAGGGCTCAGCGGCGCGGCGGATCTTTTTGGACGTAGCGAGATCCACGTATTTCTTGCTTGCCTTGGATCCCCATTTCTTGATTGTGTCCTCGCTGACGAGGTCCTTGTCGTACAGCTGATGAAGGATCTTGACAATCTTGTCGCTGGTCAGCAGCTCGGGGTGTTCCTTGCCCTGAGCGGCAAGGAGGCGCTCGAGACCGCCCAGCAAGGCCTTCTCATGGCGTTCTGAAGAAACGATCTAAAGAGTAGTTAGTATATAGATTTACATGTCTGGGTGTAGAGTTCGTGCACAACATACCTGCTTAAGCATAGCCGCGCGCTTGGGGATCTGAGTAAGGATGTTCTCATCAAACAGAGTCTGGATCAGGACCAAGACAGTCTTGTACTTGGTCTCAATTCCAAGCTCTTTAGCTTTAATATAAATCTGAATGTCATCAACCTTGTTAATACTACCAGTCTTGGCAGCTTCCTCCTGGATCCAGTCACCCAGGGTGTCGTAAACGGTGTGGCCACCGCCCTCTCCCTCATCTTCGTCCTCATCAGCACCGCCGAGGACAAGTTTCTGGCGGAACTCGCTAGGGAGTTGGCTCTGACGGGCCTTTACGGCCTTCTCGGACACATCGACGGTCCAGTCGTCATCTCTGACGACAGCAGGGGCATCAATAACTTGTGCGTCAGCATTAATCTTGCGAGTGAACTCATCGTCACTACCGGCATCGTCCTCGTCTTCGTTCTTGTCACCGCTCCCGTTGGAACCGTTCTCGGAATTCTCACCGCCGCTTCCCACGCCGTTCTCTTTGTTGCCGTTCTGCATAGCTTGCTGCTTGGCCTTGCGGGCAGCCTTGCGTTCAGCCTTGTCTTTCTTGCCGTTCTTCCTTGGCTGGTTCTTCAGAATGAACCCACTAAGTTTCAGACGAAGATCCACGTCGGTGCGCTGGCCGCAGGCTTTGCAGTCAAGTACGATGCGACCATCCTTGATGACAACATCTGTCTCAGGATTCTTGCACTTCTTGCAAAGGACGAACTTGTTGATAAAGCCGTCCAGGTGGTCCTGCAGCTTAGAGGCTTCATGGGCACCGTTGATGATCCATCGGTCATCAGGAGGGTCAATATTGGTCTGAGCACCAAGCTCGAAACCGAAGTATTTAATGACATATGACCCTGGGCGGGCAAGAGACTGAGCAACGCTGCTCAGATTGACAACGACAGTTTTGATACCATTGCCTTTGCCTTCAATCTTGACTTGAATCCTTTCCATCTTGTAACGATAGAAGGCATCGGTGACATCACGACGAACGTTGACGAGCGCCATTTTTGCGGTATCGTGTTAGGTAAGCTGTCGAAATTAAGAGAGACGGTAATAAAAGTTGGGTTTTTTTCTTTTTAATCGGTCGGGAGGATCAAATTCCTTGAATATAGGGACGGAGTAGACTAGATAGTCATTCGTAATTGACGATGACGAGTGAAGCAGGAAGGGGTTGAACGAGCCAGGATCTCAGTAGTGAGGACTGTTCCTAGTGGACATAGGGAAGACTGGATTATAGTTGCCAGCGTTGGAAGGCATTAACTCGGGCGATTCGTAGTCGATTCGTTCTCAACCAACGGAACTGATATTGGGGCTACAAGGTTTTCGCGGTATGCGAAACGACTGCAGCGTGAGGGGAGGAAAGTGTCTAAACACAGCGAGCTTGTCGTGCTGATACATAAACAACAATGTATCCTGTAAACCCTTTTATGTGTAGGGTGTATTTGGTCGAGGGATCAAGATAACAAGCAGGAAGCGGACCTTGGATCCCGTAAAGTTGTTCGCAAGAGGTCTCTCTTTTTTCAATCTATGCGCCTGGAGCGTAAATGTGTGTAGAGCGTAGGTTATTTTTAGGAATAGAGTGTGTTTGTGTGTGCTTGTGTTTGCGTGTAGTAGTAGTTTTTATTGTTCAAGATTGGCGTAATATGCCCAGAACGTAGAACAGGAAATGGCAGCGACTGCCGTAGATTTAAAAATCCTGTTGCAAAAAAGTAATGAGCAGAACGGGAACACAGCTGCTGTCCGGTGCGAGTTGCAATGCCGTGATGCTGTGGTGCTTGGTTGCTGTGATGGCGATTTGTTGTTGGAAGGATGAAAAAAGAAAGAAATGGAAGTGGGAGACAGATATAAAAATAAAAAGTTAGGAGGGCAAGTCAAAGAAATGGCCCTGAAGGAAATCGCGGCGTGGTGGATGAATAATAATGAAAAACTGTGCAAACGCACTGCCCGCAACGGCCGTTGTGTCCGCTAAAACTTTGTACATAGTACCGTTTTCTACCGCTTTGCAGGCAATGGCAGGAACACATCCCACTCAAAGCGCAAACTCTAGCACGAAAAAACCCTTCTGTAGGGTGGGACTTGGGGTGCCTAGAATTGCATTTTTTGCTTATTAGCGTTGCCTATGTCGGTATCTAGCGTTTGGACCCACGCTTTTTAGTGGGTACATTTCAGCATTACTCATGGGGTTTCTGGAGCCTCTGGAGCCTCTGTATCAAGGTATCAAAGTAACCTAAAAAGGCACGGATTGCATGCAAGTTGGCGATTGGAAGACCTTGGGAAACACCGACGGTCCCTATGAAAAAGGTCGGAGCCGAGGGCAAGAAAAAAAAGAAAAACGACAAAGGCATCTCGGAGTTAACCCACTAAAAACTTGCTGCAATGCTAGTGTAGCATAATTGCTTCATTGGCTAGGCCCAAGAGCAAGGCGAGCAACTTTTTTAGTATTTGAGGCTTCAGCCGGTATAAAATACCCAGGAGCCGGGGGGGGCTGTTACATATTGGACTTACACATGCCTACATATGAGGCATGCATATATTTCTGATGCAGCTAAAGGGAAGTGCTTTTAGGAATCCGAGCAGATTTACAGGTGCCTAAGGAATAATCATTGCGCACATATCTAATGAATGCATTGAATGCAATGGATGCAACATGTGCTACTCGACTACCTATCGTCCCCTAGCGCCAATCGGCCCCTACATAATGTGCCTAAGTAACATAATAACACTTGTAACCATTGTCATCATCACAAGGCATCAGTTGTTTGGTTAGGGTAATTTACTCTAAATATTGTATTTAACATGTTTGGAGAGAAAGTCCAGAGGAAGATGGAAACAACTTCCCACTAATATAGACAGACGTTGTCGACTTTTAAAGAATGCACGTCATTATGACTTCGGAATAGTATCATTCTGCAGCAGGTATTGTTGGATATATCATTTCTCAAGTTTGAACGGTTCTAACGCAGCGCCGTATGCATACAAAAGAAACTCCTTTTACCGGACTTTATCTATGTAATATCCGGAGCTGACGTTATATACGTTAAGTAGTACTCAGAACTCGCGATGCACCTTACCAAGTCATCTATCTACCTAGGTAAGTAAGTAGGTTATAGGTAAGAGGTAGGTATGTACGGTAACTATTCCAAAGCCTTACATGGCTAGGTAGTTTTAGGTAGGTACTCAGGTCGGGCAATGTATTTCCCCACGTAATTTACTATGTATAACGCAAAGCAACCTTTTGCGCCTTACATAGAGGTACATGCCGTCTGCAGCTGTCTTGCATTATATTTGTACATCTGGCACCAATCATTCACACCGTGGTCTGCTAACTGCTCTTGATTAGCTTGTTCTGCCTAGGTCCCCCTTGGTTGACCGGGATCGTAGATCCCAGATTTCCATCCGCACGTCCTTCTTGGCGACCTGGAGGGATGAATATACAATATTTCGAGATAGTCTACTATGTAGTAATATTAATCTCAAGCCGAGCAACAAGAAACTTGTGGGATGTACAGGCATTAAAAGTAGCCATCCGTCATGACCCTCATATCCATAGGCCGGACGACGTCTTTTCTGACACCTTGGGGGGGGGGGGGGGGGGGGGGGGGGGGGGGGGGGGGGGGGGGGGGGGGGGGGGGGGGGGGGGGGGGGGGGGGGGGGGGGGGGGGGGGGGGGG